AGATATTTTTGATGACAGTGGTGTAGCGGTGATCTATTCGGCACTCTTTTAAAGCTTCTAGCATTTTCTGGTGGTTTAGTGTGTCGAATGCTTTCTCATAATCCACAAATATTAGGACGTGTAGGTATATTGTATATATCTATAATATTATATTTTTGTATATTTTGACAGTGGGTAATAAATTTTATAACACGTGTGTGGATATTTAATGAAAAAATGTATAGAATTCCATAGTTGTGAAATGTGTGACAGATACTCAACAACTGTAACTAATTTGTCAGATACTACTGTATATTCATGTTTAAGGGATATGAAAATAGAACTGGTGAAACATTTGGTAATCTAAAAATGGCGATTGGTGATTTTGTTAACTATATTAGTATACTTGACTGTCTCTTTCACAAGAATTTTGGCATATTAGCCAAATATATGTTTCTCTATTTAGTACCTTAAATTTTAGCCACCCTTGTGAACAATTTCCACTAAAATATTGTATAACTTTATTTAGCTGTGTACGTTTGTACTATTCATTAAAATTCATAAAGAGAAATTTCAAGACTAAAAAACATGAAAATATAACCAAAAGAAAAAATAATAAATTGATTATTTGGAAACATCAATAAAACATTATTTACTTGTTTATAATAATGTAAAAAGTCAAAATACTCTTTTTTTATTACAGTGATCAGATAATATCAGTTAATACTTAATGTACCTATCTAGGGGTTTCTTCACATTCTCTTATGTTTTTAGAGAGATGAAACTAAAATATTTTATCATATTCCATAAAAATGTATTAGAGCATTACTTCTAATTAATTAATAATTAATTATATTGACAGTAATCAAGATCAAGTAAACAGCATTGTAAAATATCATTCAAAATCACATTTGAACAAAAGCAATTGTTTATAGAATAATCCATACTCCTGGATTGCTTTAGCTAATTTCTTTTCATATTCCTTCCCGTTCACTGCGTCAGAATTTACATTTCCATGTATCTTATTGCAGAACTAATTATAGTTCAAATATAGGCATACCCTGCGAACTCAATGTAAAAAAATTGTTCCATATATATAGTAAGATTCCAAATAACGAGATGGCGCCTGGCACTTATTTCAACTGGATCGCTAGTATATGTGGTAGAGGCTAAGTAAAAAAGAAAGAAGAATATTGAGTTTTAAGTTTGGCAGTTGTATTTATAGGTTGGTTGGGTTGTATTTTCCACGTCCACGTGTTTGGATTTGGATGTCTGTGCCATTTTGTTGTATACAATATAAATTTTTTACGTTTTTATTTTGTACTCACGTGAAGTAAATGTTTCCTATTTTAGTTTTTAATAGACATTTTTAGTGTATAGATTATTTTAATTTTTAAATAGACAGTTTTAGTGTATAATTTATTTTTGTTCCCTCAACTCTACTTGTTTCAAGGTAATGTGAATAATTCCAAAGGTAGAAAGACAAATATGGTATAACTTTTTTATTCTAGCATATTTCTATTCTAGTGTAATACTCCAATATGATGAAGTTTTTGTGTTGTCAAAACAATTTAATATACTCGAGATTTATGTTAGATTTATTGTAATAAATAATGATTATTACTGTTATTTGTTGTTTTTATTATTGTTCTTACTTTGTCCATATATACTTCTCATTTTTTTAATATCATTGCTACTCATGCTAAATTTGATATGTGCATTTTATTAATTTTTTGTTTTTGCAATAAAAATATTTTTATTGCAAAAACTAAAAATTAAAAGATTGCACATATGAAATTTGGTATGCCAAGCAAAGATCTTCCAATTATTAGTTAGCCTTCAAGATCCCAGAGGGCGCTAAATAGATTTGAATTTCGCGCCAATCGTCATTGTCGTCATAACGTTACAGGGCTCTTTCAATTTATGGAGATTAGTTAGATTCCAAAAATGTAGGTGGCGCTAGAATTCGTCACAAATTTAGTCTATAGAGAGTGCATTCTACCTAACCTTCTTATCTATGAATATAGGTATGATCTGACTTCCCCATCGAGCAATAAGACAAAAGAGGGAATGTAAAGGTAGTGGGGGTAAACATATTGATAGACAGGAAGTGCCATCTTGAGAGGCCACTTTAGACAAGGATAGACAGTCTCTTTCCTTGTTTAAGAAGTCAAATTTAGTTAGGTTATGTTATTGTTTGTCTCAACTGTCACATGAAATTTTATTTATATTGAAATCTTTTACCAATTGTGTCACTTTTTAGACTATTATAGTTAATATTTAATTAAAACTTTCTCGTCTGAAAAATATTTTATAGCTATTGTTAATAAGTGTTGGAAAATTTAAATTTAGCGCCTTTGCATTTCCGGATATGTCCGCCATCAGAGGCCACTTTTTTGGTCTCCTTTTCATAACGATTAGATTCCCTCTTTTATCTTTTTGCTCGATGGACTTCCCATACATGCAAATCAGTGCTCATGAGATATAATTTGTTTAACTTTTGAAATTTTAAACTACAAAATGATACTTTGTAAACTTAATGTGTACTTACTTTATACATGTATATTTAATTTTTATCTGTAATTGTATTTATCTACAATGTATTTTTGTATAATTTTGACAGTGGATCTGTCACCTTTGTTATTAATAAATAAATGTAATATCTAATGTAACATGTAATAATAAATGAAGTTTACTTAAAAATTTATTTTTTATTTCCACAAATCCATTCTTAACTTTAAACGGATGGCGCTACTTTGAACACTTTGTATGATTCCGTTAGATGTCTAATGTACATCAACAAGAATTGTTAGAAAAAACTCAAAGAACATTTGTGTTATGAAGTACAGTTATGAAATTATAGAAGGAAAACCATTATTTAAATAAAAAATTCAGATATTACACTCTAAAGAAAAGAAATGTGTGGATAATGTGACAATTGAAGACTATATGGCACTTGCATCTAAATTTTGTACTTAATTAAATTTAACTAATTTCATAAATGTTCAAATTTTACAGTCTAGAAAAAAGGCAAGAGGTAGAAGATTCAATAATCAGTTTAAACAGGATGTCTCTTAATGTACTTCAAGGGGCCAAAAGTTTTACAAAAATATTTTGTGTAACAAATTTTGTTTACCCAGCCCTAATATATTATTTAAAAATAATATACCAGACAGCTACACAAAAAGTGTAACTAATTTATCGGATACAACTGTATATTTATATGTTAATGTATATAAAAATAGAACCGGTGACACATTTGGTAATCTAAAAATCCCTATTGGTGATTCTGTTGACTTTATAAGTAGGTATACTTGGCAATTCGCTATCAAAATAATTTTGACATATTAGCTATACAGCCAATTATTATTACATGTTTCTCGATTTATTACAACTTTTAGTCACCTTTTGAACAAAGTCCACTCAAATATTGTACAACTTTATTTAGCCGTGTACGTTTGTACTGTTTATTAAAATTCAATAACAGAAATTTCAATACTCAAAAATATGAAAATAAAACTAAAAGAAAAAAACATAAAATAATTATTTGGAAACATCAATAACACATTATTTAATCGTTTATATCGAAATAACAAGTCAAAATAGTCTATTACAATGACCAGGTAAGATCAATCACTAATCAATATACCTATTTAGGAGTTTTGTTCACATCCTCTTGTGTTTTTAGTGAGATATAATTAGAATATATTAACTAATTTCAAACTCTGTATTTGAATTTTGAAATGAAACTTTGCATTTTATTCTACTTTATAAACATGCAGCTTTAAAACTAGCATGTTTATTAAAAACTGTTGCATAACTCTCCATTTGATTTTTTTATAGTGTTAAGGCAGTTCTGTAACAAATAGTTGTGAAACGTTAGAAAACAAAATCATAAACACAACGTAGTGAAAGAAACAATTTTAGGTTTTTTTTTTAATTTCTCGAAGAATGAAAGAGTAACAAGAAAAAAGTTTTGAAATTGGTTGAAATTAAAATCAATAGATTAAGAATGAACTATTTTGAACACTATGATGATCTGGATTTTTACCAAAGATTTAGGTTAAGAAAAGAGACAGTTTTATGCCTTCTACATAAAATAGAAAACCAAATATCTTTGCCTACAAACAGGTATGATATTAAAAATTTGTTGATATTAAAATAATTACAATGCTATTTATTTCAGAGGTGGATGCATTACTCCCATGCAACAAATTCTGTTGGCTTTAAGATTTTATGCATCACAAAGCATGCAATTAAATGTAGCTGATTTTATGGGAGTGTCCAGAGCTTCAGCCTGCAGAATTATAAAAAGAGTGTCATTTGCAATTGCATCGTTAAGGCCACAATACATATATATGCCTAAAAATCATCAAGAGATGGAAAAAGCTGTTGAAGATTTTTACAAGATTTCTTCATTCCCTAGAACAATTGGTGCAATTGATTGTACTCTAATAAAAATAGATTCTCCAGGAGGTCAGGATGCAGAAATTTTTAGGTCCAGAAAATCATTTTTTGCATTGAACGTCCAGACAGTGAGTGATGCAAAATTGAAAATTAGGAATATTGTTGTAAGGTGGCCAGGATCTGTACATGATCAGACAATTTTTAATAATAGTAGGCTGAAGCATAATTTTGAAAGTGGTATGTTTGGCCATTACATGTTGGTTGGTGACAGTGGATACAGTTTAAAACCATATCTAATGACTAAATTGCAGCAAACATCAACACCGGCTGAGGATTTATTTAATGAATCAATCATAAGAACAAGGAATGTAGTAGAATGGCAATATGGTTTGTGGAAAAGAAGATTTCCTATACTCCGTTTAGGAATGAGACTGAAATTAGAAAATACCATGGCTGTAATTGTTGCAACAGGAGCGCTTCATAATATTGCCATTGATATGAATGACAATTTTCCTGAGAATGGGCCTGAAGATGATGCAGATGATGAATTAGAACCCATACAAAATAATGAAAATATGTCAGAAAACATAAGAACTTTACTAATAAATGAACACTTTGGTAGATTGTAAATATATTTATTAATAAAAACAAAATGTAATAAATTTTTTTATTTATTCATTTTCCCCAATTGTTTTTGTTTTAATTGTATGTCTAAATCCATTAATTTTACATTTTTTTTCATATATATTTTTTTCTCTTTCTTCCTTAATTTTTCTTCCTTCCTCTTCTGCTTTATAATTCTTTTGTTCCCTTTCCATCCTTTTTCTTCTTTCTTCTTCTTCTGCTTTAAACGTTCTCAGGAGAAGTCTATATTTTCTCCTGTAATATCTTTCTTTTGCAGAAAAAACTGGATTTCTAATTGTTGGCAGCAATTTTTTATTTTTGGGCGTTTGTAAATTAGTTGGAACATATGTACTCCAATTTGTTTTTTCCTCTGTTTTGGGTTTCTTTCTTAGTTTGTCAGGTATTTTTTCTTCCTACAACAAAATATATTATTTCATCATAAAATGAAATGTTTGCTTTTGGTGTTTAATGTATACAAATGATGTGTGGGTGGGAAAAGGGAGTGGAAGAAAGACTAAAGTAGTGGAAACCGGCCCTTTGAAGACCATTGATTAAAGCTGAGTACAAAAGCAGAGTATTTGGAAGTTCTTTTAAAGACGGTATTTCAAATTCAAATAGCTTAGCTTGGATGGACAAGATCATGCAGAAAGTCACAGTTTTAGATATTTATGATTGGTGCTACAGAGGTAGGTAAGTATTATTAGTGAAAGGTCACCTTATAAGATTGGATAATGACAGAACACCTAGTGGACTTATCGAGAGAAGTCAGCATGGGATAACTGGAGGAGAGCAGCCAGTGCCCGACTTGGGCTGTAGTGCCATAGGAGAGGGAGAGTATGAAATGAATTAAGGTGACTGAAGTACATGTGCTAAGGTAGCTGGGGTATATGCAGTGTAGATATAAGGACCATCTTATACAAAAAGCTGTGAGGTGTTTAGTCCTGGGCAGAAATAGAAGAGAAAGGCTGAAAGAGATGTAGTGGGTGACAATTAGTCAGGATATGGATGTAAAAGGTATTCATATTGATACAGCACAGGATACAAAAGTATGGAGGAAAATAATTAGACTCAGACCCTGCATATTGAGAAGGCAAAGAGAATGATGATGACATTCAGTTTATATAGTTTTTATTAATAACTCACCAGATCCGCAGAGGCATAGGAGTGATCAACTTCAGATATAATTATTTCAGCATCCTAAAAAGTAATGTGTAATTAGGAACATATACATAGTTTAAATTATTGTCATCTAAAATCTAAATTGTCAGGGTATCACTTAAGAATGATATCTGGAGATGCCTGAAATAAGAGACTTATTAGGTAGTTAAATGATGGCATGCACATTTTTAAAATAAGGGCTAATAAATATATATCAATTTGCCATCAGATTTTTACGAACTATAAAATGTCTACCCTGACAATCCCATTGAATTTGCACTTTTAAAATTTAATACTTACTAGTATTTGCTGATCCATTTCATCGTTATCTATATATATATATATATATATATATAATATATATATATATATATATATATATATATATATATATATATTATTTTCGTCTGAAGTTATTTTCTACAAAAAATGATAAATCAGATAATTGAAGGAAACAAATATTGATTGAATGAAAAATATAGTAACAATATTGGGTATAATATACAGTAGCTACAATACATTTCAGTAAAGTTATATGTAATATAAATAAAGCTTTATTATAAATATATGAAACTTTTAGTTACTAAGAGCTGGTTTCACCAACAACAAATAAATCAGTGAATTGTTATTTGTCTATTATATTTTTATTGTGATTCAATACCATTTTTCTCTGTAGCTACTACTGTGTGTATTATGACCAAATATATAATTTACTTACACTAGTACTGGGAATGTTTTCCCACACATAATTAGTTTTTATTGTCTCATCACTATCGAAAATGGTTTTCAAGCCCACCACTGTTTTTTCGTTAATGATTCTTAGGGTTGCCTCAATCACAGGATCCTCTAAAGTTTTAATTTCAGGACCACCACCAGTGCCTCTTAAATATGAGTTTTCTTTGGCCACAACTTTTCTTGTTCTCGTTTTAATATTATCATATTTATTTTTCACTTGTTCCACTGTTCTCCATACCACATTTTTAGCATTAAAATTAGTTAAAATTTTTTGCCATGCTTCTTCCTACAAAATATGAAATGCAAATGAACATCAACAGCTTGACTGTACATAGGTAATATATGATACTCAATTATTTAAATAATTTAAAGGATTTTTAACAAATGAAATATTGTACCAACCTTTTCTTTATTGTTCACTTTGTTTGTAGTTTTGCACTCTACTATATCTTTGTATTTTTCGATTTCTTGCAATAAACCAAGTTCCTCCTCTTTGCTAAAGTTTGTAGAACGTTTCTTTGATTTGTCCATTTTAAGTACTTAATTAATAGTAATAATTATGATATATATATTATACTAATAAAAATAGTAGGTACCTAATATTAATAAAATTAGTGGTAAACTAGAATTAAAAAGTAAGTATTAAGTAATTAATCTAATTAAAAGCAAAACAAAAAACAAAAGTAGAGTAATAATAATGAACTATAACTAACTAACGAACAAAGTAATTTTTAAGAAATTAATCTAATTAGAAAGAAAAGTATAACAATGATAATAAACTAATTAATTTTTAGAAATAGAAATAATAATATTAGTAGTTTAAGTTAAAAGCAGTATTGTAGCAGTAGTATTAAAGTTAATAATAATTAAATTAAATCTGGATTAGTAATTAAGTAATAATAAGTAATTTAAGTTAAAAACCAACAATTATAATAGTGTATCGATCTGGTAGGTAGAATACACACGCGCGAAATTCGGCAAAATGGCCAAAATGTATGACATTCAATGTCATTATTTCCATTTTAGTTCAAATACATTATAATCCAGTTTAACCAACAGTATAAAATTTCATTAAAAGCCACTTTACTTAAAGAACCCTTTAAAGCGAGTTATGAAATCAAATAACGTTAACAGCCACTTTAAAGGCGACTTTAACATAAAGTCTCCTTTTACTAAAGTCCACTTTAGGGAATCATTATGAAATCGGCCGTAAGAAGATAAGATATTGCGCATAAGTCGTGACGTCATTGGAGAGTTTGACGTTCGAAATATCAGTTTTTTGTATGTATCAATAAATAATCTTTAATAAATAGTTTGGAGATATTCTTATGTGTACGATTATTGTAATTACTAAACCTCTTAACTTATTTTCGTCTATTCTTTGTTTCACGTTAAGAAAATTACATTACGCTTATGGAGATCAGTGTTGCCAAAACTCTCAGACACTCTCTTTTGCACGGATGTCCAAGATATTCCCTTTGCTTAATTTTTGAATTTTCATTTTCAATTAATATTTAACTGTAAAGTCAGAATAACTACTAAATAAAAGTCTTATTATCATTATGTAGTCAGAGACGACATAAAATAGCTGACATACGCACATCGTATTATTTTAAGTTGCAATTAGTAATTAGATATACGCATTCCAAGCGGTCAATATTTTCTACTGATTTATATGATTCATGGCATATCGTATTCTCACCGAAAAACAAATAAACTGTCGTTACTATGATTAAAATAAGATAAAATAAAATAATCTTTTGTAAATACTATTTATCTAATTAAAATCATTTTCCCTACTTTTCATCTCTTGTTTCGAATGGGCACTTTTGGCCAATTACGTTAAAACACATTAATTTAATTCATGTTTGTGGAAACGAAAATACAAATTATACAAACCAAAATTGTGCTTGTGTGTGTCGTGGCAACGCCGTGTTGCTATCGTCCATAAGAAATACATGGCCCATCTTCGCAATGTTATTTTCTAAACGTGAAACGTAGTATAGTAATTTCATCACAGAATGCATACAAATCCCATTTAACTTTAACAAGAATTCAAATTCTACTCTCCAATGACGGCATGCGCGAACACGACCTATTTTGTGCTACGGTAAGAACCACGGTTCCTAGACTTACTCCGGTTGCCTCTTCCGCCTAACCAATGAACATTAAGCTGAACTGTACTCCTGTGACGTAATTTGAATCTTAAAAATCAGCCCTGTGATTGGATGGATGTATCAAAACAAAAATGTTTTATAAATAAAATAAATGTTAAATAACGTGCCCGTTAACCTGCATTTACGTTATATTCTAAAAATTGATGTGATGTATCACAGATAACGTTTCTAAAAAAAGAACGTTATGTGGTAACGTTTTACGTTATCTTGCTAACATAATATATTATATTCTCTGATAACAGGTTCAATTTAAAGAGATGATTTAATCTCATACCATTTGTAGATGGGAATAACGTGTAGTTAATAAAAATATAAAATGAACAATTTAGTCCAGAATTTTGGCCGGATTCTAAACGATGAGTTATTAGAAGAATTAGATGATGCTATTAGAAGGTTTGTTAAAGATATTTTTGGGCATCTCGCAATTGCGGGCACTCTAACCTAACCAAATATATTTTCCTCAAGGCACTGCGTCACAGTGTTGCCGTATTTATTTTAGTAAAATATGTATATGAATGCTACAAATATAAATTTACTTTTACGAAATAATAATTTGTGTTATGAGAAGCTACAAATACATAAGCATAAAACTTGCCGTATTTTTTTTGTAAACTGTATATGAAGGTTTAAAATATAAGTTACTTTTACGAAATTATAATTTGTATTATGAGAAGCTACAAGATTTAAATATATTAAATAAATTTTTTATATCATTTTAATCAGTTGTATTGTATATGCATTTGATTATTATCTTTAATTTAACTAAAATCTTTAAATTTTTATATAATTTCAATGCATTTCTATTATATACAGTAATTTAATTATTACTAATAATTTTTTATATAATTTTAATCAATTTTATTGTATATGCATTTGATTATTATCTTTAATTTAACTAAAATCTATACTATTAATTTTTTATATATCACTTTAATCAACATTTGTATAATATTATGTGAGAGTATGAAAAAACTGGAGACTTGGCAACTCTGACACCATTTAAGCGAACGTTAAATGTCATATAAATGCTTGGTTAGGTTAGAGTGCCCGCAATTGCGAAATGCCCAAAAACTAATTTATTATGCAATTATTATATAAAAAAATAATTTATTATGCAATTTTTTAAAGACAAATCATGTGCTATATTTTCTGAGAGGTGATCTCAAGTTAAGGTTAATTTCATGTAATCAAATGAACTATTTTACAATAAAGCCAAGTTAAAGTTATTTATTTATGTTAATATACAATAAAGTACTTACATATGTCAAAAAATAGTATAAAATAAAAATTAACATATTAAAAACATAAGATATAATAATGCATATATACGTTAAGGCAAACATTACACAGAATATTATATTCTGGGTTCCCAGGTATACACAAAATAGGATTCATCATCAATCACAAGCCAGTTCCAAACATTAAAGTTAAAATTTAGGAATTCATCACTTGAAAACTGCTTCCCCTTCAACCAATGGACTCTTTGCTTCACCACAATACTCAAAGATATCATTAAGGTTAATTTCCATTATTAAATGATACAAATAACTCATCTTAAACCAAACTAAACATGGAAAAGCAATGGTAAATATTCGAATGTTATGTTTGTTTTTGTTTATACCATTTATATCGGCCATGACACTGCAATCGACCTGCCCCGCCCTCTACATTCAGTTTCAATCGCGAATAAATTGGTTTTGTATTCTTGTGTACTCCTGTGACGTAACTCAAGCATCCCCACCCCAGTCGGAAGAGGCAACCGGAGTAAGTCTACGAACCGTGTAAGCGAACGTTAAATGTCATATAAATGCTTGGTTAGGTTTGAGTGCCCGCCATCGAGCAATAAGACAAAAGAGGGAATCTAATCCTTATGAAAAGGAGACCAAAAAAGTGGCCTCTGATGGCGGACATATCCGGAAATGCAAAGGCGCTAAATTTAAATTTTCTGACACTTATTAAGAATAGCTATGAAATATTTTTCAGACGAGAAAGTTTTAATTAAATATTAACGATAATAGTCTAAAATATGACACAATTGGTAAAAAACTTCAATATAAATTAAATTTCATGTGACAGTTGGGAAAAACAATAACATAACCCAACTAAATTTGATGTCAAACAAGGAGAGAGACTCTCTTTCCTTGTTTAAAGTGGCCTCTAAAGATCGCACTTCCTGTCTAACAATATGTTTGCCCCCACTACCTTTACATTCCCTCTTTTATCTTTTTGCTCGATGGTGCCCGCAATTGCGAAATGCCCAAAAATCGTCTAAAATTGTACCTTTTGCACCACTGATATAAAAAATTTTAAATTATAAAATAAATTATAAAAGATAAAACAAATACAAATATGGCGCCGTATTTGTCTAAACTCAACTTTGAATTTTCCACAGCACACTCCCTCCGCCCAGGAAAGAGACTAGCAGCGCCACCATACGAATGGGTGCCAAATCCGAACATGATTTGGCCTTGGCTATCTCTGTTACCAATCTAGGTAAATTTATCTATGTGTGACAGCTCATTAAAATTAAAATTTCTGGCAACGTTGGATTTCATTTCTAGGAGTCCATTTTCCTGTCCATTCTAGGCAAAATAAGGTTGTCAAGTTGTTAGGGAAATCTAGGGAAATTTTGGCAAAAATTCTAGGGAATTAAAAAAAAAACTCATCTGGCAACCCTGGGCTTGGGTTAATTTATTAATAGCTTCTCCTGTGGTCTAATCAGTTGTCATAAACAAACGATCTTAACTTAATGTTTTTGCAAAGAAAAAGTTATTTGTAAAATATATTTTTATAAAATTGTGAATTGTTAGAAAAACAACAAGAAACGGTAGGATAATGTGATATTTATACACAGAACATCATCAAAGAATTTAAAATGAATCACTTTAAAAATTTGTTGCTACTATTTAAAAGTTTTTTTTATAGGTTACAATCTTGGGGTAATATTTGGTATCTAATATATATTTGTATCTCCAACTATAAGTAGAAACGTAGACATGGTTATTGAAGAAGCAAGGTACACCTATCCAACTCAACTCACGAACAGTTTTGATAGAGAGAACTGGACCATATCTACTGAGCATTGCTATGCTAGACCATGGGATTGGAGACCAGAAGCCAGCTTTTTAAGACCTACCAAAACGTTATTTATGCCGAAATTAATTCCTATGAAACCAGCTACACCTGAAACAGAACAACAAATAGATGTTGAAGCTGAAGTCGAAGTTCCAGTCCCTAATTATGATGTAGCTAAGGCAAAAATTCTAATGAATGAATGTGAAAACCATGCATTTTCTGCAAGAACAGATACAGAGGTAGACTGGGAAGAGTTGGTGTCAAAGTAAGTGTATCATTGTAATTTTATTATTATCTAGATTTATGCTATACATCTTCCATTCACTCTAAG